TCCAACCCAAACCATCCTGGGATTCTCTAGTGATGACTTGCTGGGTACCCAGCCGACAGGAGGGGCCGTGTGGGTCCACGCACACCCGTGTGTACACAGGGCAGTATCCTTAGCGACTTAATAAGGAGCAGATGATCCTGTTCACTTTAATGGGCACAGCAAAACAAATAACTGGACATATTAATCTATATATCTGTCACTACACATTGTTTACAAAGAAAAATCACCTTCTGGCCATCGATCACCCACCTGCATGTGGGATGCCATGTGCCTTAGCCACGGTGGCTGTGAGATGTGCCTGCCTCCGAGCATCCCAGGCGTGTGCCTGCCTCTGAGCATCCCATGCCCACCCGCAGCAGGGATGAGCTGGGGCGAGCATCAGTCAGGGGCAGCTGCGCTGCCCCAACAAACCTTCCCATCCCACGTGCTCTCTGGAGGGGCACAGATCTGTTCTCCAATACCACCAAAAGCAGGCTCTGGCTTACCATTTAAGACCCGAACAGGCCTAATTAAATAGACACTTTCAAATTACCATTTGGTAACCATACCATGGGGATGCTACTGGGGAAGCTGCCCATCTCACTTCTGCGCCCGCAGCTGCTGGGGCGGAGATGGCAGCACCACCTCTATTGCACAAGCTCTTTTCTGGGAAGGGGAGGTTTCATTCTCTTCTGCCTTCTCCTTCCTTCCTGCCCTGGCCCCCCTTTCCCCTGCTTCCCCCTCGCAGCCGAACTGTGGGTGCGGGACCAGCGCTTGCACAACGGGGGTTGCTGCCGTCTCACATCCTGCACGTACGGTGTCATGCGAGGGGAAAGAGCAGGGGTGGCACCACGAAACTGCCCTGTGACATCAGAAGGTGAAGAAAGATGTTTCTGTGCCCAGTGAAGGCAATGGCAGCCAGAAGAGAAACGCTGCTGTCAAGAGGGAAGGACACATGGGAACTGCCCGCGATGGCATTGCCTCCCGTGGGCTGGGGGGCACCGGGAGCCATGGGGAGCCCCTGCATCACCCAGGAACACTGTGGGGATTGGAAATTGAACCAAGTGGTGTTCCAGTGTCGACAGCGTTCACCACTGTATCACACTGCTCTGGGCACAGCTTGGCCAGGCGAGCAGCGAGCAGGAGGCATGGTGAATTCCTGGTGGAGCGACGTGTTGCACCTGGTTTCATGGATTCCTGCACAAGAGACACATAAATCAGGCTAAATAGAAAGTGGGTTGGTGTTGAAAATGCAAAATTTATTTTCACCATAGTGTTGGCCGGCATCCAGCAGTGTTGCTGGGGGACAGGACCAGCCCTCCCACAGCAAACTGCTCAGGGAGGGCACAGGAAGCACTCCTGGGACCTGACAGCAAAATCCTTCCTGCAGCATCGCCGGGAGCAGCAGCAGCTCCGCGGGACCCCGTGGGTGCCTTGCAGGGTGGACTGAGCACCAAGCCCGTGGTGGGGCCACTGCCAACCCCAGGGGACGCTGGCACGGGCGTTTGTGGGGGATGCTCACAGAGGGAAGCAGCTACTGGGTCCCACAGGCTGAGCCAAACAAGTACGAGGGTCCTGCTGTTAACAGGAGAGAGGCAGGCAGGGCGGCTGCGTGGGCATTGAAGGGAACTGTGTATAAACCAGAACACTCGGCACAAGGGAGGCTTTTTGCTTTTTTAAACAGGCTGCACTGTTTATTAGCAGGCAGGTGTCAATGGAACAGACAAGGGTGTTGCAGGTGAAGATGTCAGGGAGTAGAGAGACGCAAACCCTCACGTAAAGGCAACAGCTTTGATCCCCAGACTGTGCTGACCCCGTGGATTTGTGCCCCGGCACACTTTGTCCAAGCCTAGGTCCGGTCCAGCACCAAGCCCTGGCTCACAGGGCAGCTGTGTGAGAAGAACACGTTTCCCCTTTAAGGACTACAATTACAATATTTTATTTACAGCATTAATAGGCGATAGCGTATCCAGCTGCGAGAGCAGGGCTTGCTGCGGCACCATCGTGGGAGAACACCGCTTCTGCTTTGCTGGAGCCGGAGCAGCAGAGGAGGGCTCCTGTGCAATGAGATAACGAGTGCATTTAGAGGAACACAATCAGCTCACGCGCATTCTGTAGGGTAAATAAAGTTATCTAAAAAATGGCACTGTACATAGGCGAGTGCTCTCCCTAAGAGTTTCCTGCCCTCGTCTCACACTGCGAGAGGTCTCCTCATTCGGTCATTTGCCGGTTGGTCGTTGTCAACCTGCTCCAGAGCTGCCTTATTTTCGCCATCAGCATCTCTCTGAAGTGGTCTCCCATTAGGAAATAAAAAACGGGGTTAATGGCACTGTTCAGGAAGGCAATGGGTCTCGTGATGATGTAGATGGTGTTGATGACATCCTGCGCGCACGCGGACACGTTCAAGGCTGCGATGCGGGAAGCCAGGCGGACGTTGCGCATGACGTGGTAGGGAGTGAAGAGCACGGAGAAGATCACCATGGCGAGGACGACCAGCGCGAGGGGCTTCTCCAGGGCCAGGGCGGAGCTGAGCTGCTCGCTCCTGCTCTTGAGGAAAAGAACCATCTTCACGTAGAAGCAGCACATGGTCACGAGGGGGATGAGGAACCCAAAGACGGTCAGGAGCACGCTGTAGATGAGGCTTTTCACGGCGTCACCGGAGCTGGCGTAATCCAGACACTTGTAATTATTGGCGGCCGTTGCAGGCTCCAGGAAATACATCAGCGGGAGCAGCTCCAGTATCACCCCGATCCATATGGCCACAGATACGACAAGGGCTGATTTCCTCTTCTGCAGAAAGTGCTCTCTGAAAGGGAACTTTATGAGCATGTATCGGTCGATGCTGATAGCGGTGAGGAAGAGGATGCTGCTGTAGAGGTTTGCATGCAGCAGGAACCGGTTGCTGTGGCACAGGACGCTGTCCTTCGCCCATTGTTGTCTGGAGTAACTGCTCACGAGGATTTCGATATATTGCACAGAAATAATAAATCTGACAGTGACAAATTGAACAGGTAGATGTTGCCGCTTTTCCAGTTTTTCAGGCAGAATATATAGCCGAAGACAGCAATGGTGTTTCCGATGAAGCCTAAAATGAACTCGAGGCTGTACATGCTGGAGAGATAATACTTTTCCAGGGCTCTGGTCACCAACAAACAGTCGTCACTCTCGTTCACAGCCTGGAAAGTCGAAAAAAAAAAAAAAACCACCCAAAAAAATCAGTAAAAGATCATTACATGGCTGTTTTTATACTGTTACTGCAGTAGGTGAATATAGCAAACTGTGGCCTCACAGCTTGCAGGGTAAGAGAGGCTCGAACTCAAAGAATATCCCTCACACACACATGAGTTCCACTTTCAGCTGCCGACCGCAGTCACTGAGCGAGATGAAAATGTGTCTGAGCACAAACCCGCATGAGGAGTTAGAGGTCAGAGCATCACCTCCCCTAATGCACCAGCTGCCGTGTTAACATGTGCCTGGGTTAACATGTTAGCAAAGCCATCAGAAAGCAGGGGAAAACAAAGCAGGAGAAAAATGGGCTGGAGATTAAAACCGAAGGCAAGCCGAGTCTCAGAGCAGCGCTGTGACTGCCCAACACCTGCTAAAGGCAGCCTCTGCTCAGCGGGTACCTACCGCCAGCGTTTCCAGAGGTACTCTGGTGGCTCTGTTCATGTCTCTGCTCTCAAAGCACTGTCTTTTATTTTAAAGATAGATCATGAGGCAGAATAAAGCCCAGCCTATACAAAACTGTATAAAGCTACATCCAGCAAATATCTACGCTGACCCTGCGTCCCACAGGAGACAGATACCACAGCCAAGGATGCTCCCCTGGCCAGGATAAGCTCACACGCAGCATCTCGCCTAACCCCAGCCACTCGGGCTCTCCAGGAGAAACTCAACACTCAACAAGATTTTAATTCTAGAAAACACTGCACTAATATCAGCACTTCAAATAGAAATAACAACAAACACAGGGCTGTATTGACAGACGCATTGATTCAGGCAGTCGTTAGAAAAAGACCGATTAATCAATTTTAAAGCCAGCAAGCAGTCAGGGTAAGGCAATGAAAGGGTTCGTTCAGAAGTGAGGAGGAAGAGCAGAGTTTTCTTGAGAGGCGGTGGAAGGACACTTACCATCCCAGGGCTGGGCGCTGCGCTCCATCCGCACGCCAGCACCGTGTCGAGAGCGTTGGGATCCCGGGAGCGACATCGCCGGTTACCCTCGTTTGCGTATGATTCAATCATTAATGAGTCAGGGCCAAGGAGCGATTTGTTTGGCTGAGCAGGACCCGGGGGCAGTTGTTGTGGGAGGAAGGTACCGCAAAACGTGCGCAGAGCCTGGGGAGAAGTAAACAAACGCTTCCCCTTTGCAGAGACCCGTCTGGAAACTGCACGGGCAGACGGGCAGCCCACAGTGCCAAGAGCCCCGGCAAAGGACATCCCCCGAAATGCTCCCGTTTGCACAACCAGCAGGATCTCACCACAAGCCCCAGGGCTGGCAGTCGGAGGTCTCTGGCTCCTGCCTGGCCAGCGCTGTGGACAGCACACACCCAGGGGGGCTGTGGCAGCCCCAAGGGGAGAGCGGGGTGCTGCTCCCGGAGGCATGGGGAGGGAGAGGGGGCTGCTCTTCATCCATGTTTTGAGGGATCCCCAGAGCCTTCAGGAGGGCAAAGCCAGCGGGGTTGTGTCCTGGTCCCATCCAGCCTTCTCCAGCCCCAGAGCATCCCTCCTGTTGCACCTGGAGAGCAGCACCGCAGATGCAGCAGCTCAGCGACATTCTGCAGCCAGCAAAGCCATGGAAACAGCAGGTTGTAAATTTATTAAAGCAGACTGCTAAAGAGCACTTAGTTTTCATATAGTAACACGTGTTAACACTTCAAAGCTTGATGGTTTATTCCTCTTTGCTGTGTAACGTTACCATGTTTTTAACTTCAGGAGTACATACTGCTGATGCGAAATGACCCTGCTGCACTGCGACTGACCCAGCTTATGTCAGCACCAAAATTGTTTATTGGTTTCAATCCATAGAGGAGCATTTTCACGTGTGGTTTTGATTGCATTTTTACTTGCAGACCACTCTCTTCCACTGCTCAGAAGCCCCAGGGCCCCCATAAAAGAAGAGGTGCCAGTGTCTTGAGGCAGAACGTGCCCAGCCTGAGACGCCGGTCACTGTGCGAGGCAGGGTGGATGCTGCAGGGAGATGCTCCTGCCCGGGAGTTCTGCCACTCGCAGGCAGGCTCTTATCCAAAGGAAACTTGTACAAAATCCTGCACTGTGCAATGTAAGCTTTCATACACTTTAACTTTTATGGCTGTGCACAGGCATGCTCTAAGTGAGGTTTTGATCAAAAAGCTGCTGCCGTGCCACCTGTCAATAGACATAAATGACTGCAGACAAAAGGGTCCGTCTCTTCCCAGGCTCATGTAAGTTTTCAGCCTGCTACAGAAAATAAGCATTTCACTCTGTGTGCAGGCTGCAGGGCTGCCTTCACAGTCAAGACAACTGTGCAAGAAAAATAGAATCCCAGCATCTGGGGGGGCTTATTAATTAACAAGCAAACCCACTCTGTTCACCCATCAACAGCAGCTTGCTCAGAGTCGCTGGCAGACACCAAACCAGCCCCCACCACACCCCGAGCAGATGGCCCTGCATTTGCAACGCACGCACATAGCCCGACATCCCATTGCTACAGCTGATCCCAGCAAATCCAGGGTGTTGGTGCAGTGTTCAGACCACACGTGGCATCTGGACAGCACGGGCAGCGCCGGGAGCAGCTCCCAGCAACGCCGCGTGTCGCTGCAGCACCAACCTGCTTCCTCATCCCTCATGGGGACAAACAAGCCAGAGCTTCCTTCCAATATTTTAAACGTGTCTAAAAAAGCTGGGCTAGCCCTTTGCACAGCTTCTGTACTCAAGGGCAAGGCCACCCTGGGACAAGAGGGGAGCCCCGGGGGGGCTTAGCAGACCTCGGGTGACAGCAGGTGACAACTGCAGTGCTGTGGTCTGGGCAGGACGGTCCCTTCCCTGGGGAACATGGTGGAGGTCACACCCAGGAGGAAGGGACATTGCAGCCACAGTCAGAGCACTGCTGGGATGGGTGTCGCTGGTTCCTGGGCAGAGCGCTCGCTGTGACCTTCCCAGGCTCATCCCTGCTCCTGCCAGCGCAGGTGACAGTGCAGGGTCTCATCCTGGGATTGAGCCTTCCCCGGGGGTCACCGCGATGGAGAGCACTTCAGAGCAAAGCCTTGAGGCTGTTTGCAAACACAGCGACCCCATGGCTGACCAAAACCACTTCTGAAAGTGACTTCCTTCCTTTTCCACAGGTGCGATGCACATCCCGCCAGCCGCTCTGCTGGCCCGCACCGGGACCCCCCCGTGCTGGGACCCGCGGCTCCGACCCGCAGCTGGAAACGCCGGTCCTGCAGAGCACCGATCTCCGAGCACTGCACAACCACCAGCCCTGGGGAGGATTGCTTTCCAAATGCCTACGGCCTTCATGGATCATTTATTATTTAGAAACTGATTCCAAAGCA